TTGGTGGGAATGTCAATTGATGCAGCCACTGTCAAAAGCAGTATGGAGGTTCTAAAAATAGAAATACCATATGACCCAGTAATTCTACTTCTACAAATTTACCCAAAGAAAACAAAATCCCTAATTTGAAAAGATACATGCACTCCTATGTTTATTGCTGCACTATTTACAATAGCAAAGATATGGAACCAACAAATATGTCCATCAATAGATGAATGGATAAAGAAGATGTGATACATATGCACAATGGAATACTATTGAGTCATAAAAAGAAAAGAAATCCTGCCATTTGCAACAACATGGATGGACCTAGAGGGTATTATGCTCAGTGAAATAAGCCAGGCAGAGAAAAACAAGTACCATATGATTTCACTTATTTGTGGAATTTATACAAAATAAAAACAAAACAAAAGGATCAAACAGCTGTAGACTCATAGACACTGAGAAGTGACTGGTGGTTACTATGGGGGCAGGATTGGGATGGGTGGTTGAAGAGGGTGAGGGGAATAAAGAGGCACAGGAATTCTCAATCATAATATAAGTTAGTCACGGGGATGGTAGCACAGCACAGAGAATATAGCCAATGATTCTGTAGTATCTTCCTGTGTCGACAGATAGTGACTGCACTAGTGGGAGTGGGATTTAACAATTGATTTAACTGTTGGACCACAGTGTTGTATACTTGAAACCAATATAAGATTGTATATCAGTGATACTTCAATAAAAAATAAAAAGGGAAGGAAGAAAAAGGAAAGGCTATCGGTTTACAATCTCACTTTCATCCATGTTTGGGTCCCTACTTTGTGCCAGACACTGGCAATATAAATATGCACACAGTTGTTCCTTGAACAACATGGGTTTGAACTGCACAGGTCCACTTAGACATGGACCTTTTTCAACAAATATATTGGAAAAATTTTTGGAGATTTGTGACAGTTTGAAAAAAACATTTTCTTTTCTCTAGCTGACTTCACTGTAAGAATACAGTAATATAATACACAAAACATACAAAATATGTGTTAATCAACTGTTTATGTTTTTCAGTAAGACTTCCACTCAACAGTAGGCTATTAGTAATTAAGTTTTGGGGGAGTCAAAAGTTATATGTAAATTTTCAACTAGGTGGGGCGCCAGTGCCCCTAACCCTTGTGTTGTTCAAGGGTCAATTTTATTTATATTCCAAATTAAGTTATTAATTAATTATTAATAATTAACAGTTATTAGCAGCTTGAACCCTAGAGTCAGAGCACAAGGTGCCTGTGAGTCCCTTGCTCCCAACATTCACAGGCCTGCACCAAGGTGAGAGCACTATTTCAGTCTTTACTCGCATGTTGCCCCCACCCCCACACCAGATGCTCTTGTGCAGTGCACAGCCAGCACAACCATATGTGGTAGCAATGACTTCAATCCTGACTTTGCCATTTACTGTGTAATGTCAGGCAAGTTTCTGAGCCTCTCCGTGAATCTATATCTTCATCTAGAAGAAGACAATAGTAGTAGTAGTATCTTTCTTATAATGTCATGGAAGATGAAATGAGATAATGCATGGGAAGTTCTTAGCACAGAGCCTGGCTGCAAGGAAGCATTTTTTAAGTACTATTGCTATCATTATGTGTGAGACCTAGTTCCTGCCCTCATGAAGTTTACAGTCCAGTGGGAGAGACAGACTGTAGAAATATTACATCTGTTTACGTGTAAGGGTGGGTGGAGGAGTGGCAGGACATGAGTCAGGAAACTGCTCTTGAAGGATGAGTAGGAATTCACCAGGCAGAGAGTAAGGGGAGGTTGGGATGGGAAGGGAGAACACTGAAGGCTTTGAGAACAGTATGTTCAAAGGAAATGAGGCATTACATGTCATTGCACATTTCGCAACAGTGAGAAGTTCCTGCACAATTAACTAATTATGCATTTTTGCTGAGCTCAGGTGTATAGTAACTGAGCAAATAACTCCCTCTAGGTGCCAAACTTACCTGAGTCTGGACACTTGACTTTGAAATTCAAAGTAGCTGTACTTTGGGCCAATTAGGCTAAAGCTTTTTGAAGTAGGCAATGGCCTCAATTAACCATACCACTTTTAGCAGGTTTGTAGGGACCTGGGATCTACCTGGTAGAGCATGGCTGAATCAGGGCTCCACTGGGCAACTCCTAGCAGCAGTTCAGGGCTTCCCTGAAGGGGAGGATGGGGCAGCAGAAAAAGCTTTGGAAGTCAGGACACCTGGGTTCTAGTTCCTCCATTGAGGAAGTCCCCATCCCCCTTCCTGAGCCTCAGTTTCTTCACCTGCAAGACGAAGGGCTTGGGTTAGAGCTGCTTCAAACAGAGAGACAGTACACCCTAATGGCTTGGAGTCTGAATGTAAGTCACACAGACCTGTGTTGGACATGTGTTGAAGATAAAAAGAGGATTTAATTTTTATAATGCACCTCATGCAGTGATAGACCCATAGGAAGCACTGAAGAGAAGACAAAAGGTTTTTATCCCAGCCACTGAAACAGTGCTGGTATGTGGGATGTGCTGATGAATGTCTCAGAATGAACAGCCCCTCAGCCTCATATTCTTCAAGTCTATAAGCAGAAAGCCTTTTGACACTTGGAGAGTCTTAAAGCTTGCAGAACCCCTGAGCCAAGGGCACAAGATGAACTTGAGCAACTTCAGACTCAGTAATATTGTCTTCCCGTTTGGCTTGAATGGGTTTTCTGGATTTTTTACATGGAAAACATTCACATGACAACCCCAGAGTGGTGGTGGCAGGGAAGGGGAGGGGAGGAATGGAGTGGAAATTAACTGGTGATAGAAACCAGAAGAGTTTTCTTAAGAGGCCAAAAACTGCAAAAGAATTTGAGTCATACTCTGACACACAAAAAATAGGCCAACAGAACAGAGTGGGACTTCTCGTTACAAGCTGTCAATGGTTCTTCATGGCTCCTCATAGGCAGAAGGATTTATGGCATTTTCCCCAAAGACTCATGGACATTCACTATTACTATTACCGTGAGTAACACTGAGGCCAATCCTTATAAAGTGCTCCCATCATACTCCTTACTCCTCACCTCTGTCCAGCAAGGTGGACATGCTCATTCAGCCATTTCACAGCTGTGGACACTGAGGTTCAGTGAGGTCAAAGGATTTGCCCAAGGTCACATTCTGCAGTGGCCTGAGCTCAGGCCTCAGACTCCTGGTGGGTAATGAGCACTTTTAAGGTCCTGAGGAATGCTACGAAGTGGCCTGTGAACACACACCGTCATCATGCCCCAGCTTGCTAAGGGTCAGGGCATGAGACTTGGTTCTATTCAGTCCCTCTCAGGAGGAGAGCTCAGCGTCTGCTGAGTACCAATCACACCCCTGGTTAGCCAGCTCCACCTGCAGCCTCTCTCCATGTGCCATGTCCTACTGTAAATGACCTGTCAAGGCCCACTCTCACAACCAGACATTGCTCTACCAGGGTCCTGCAAGCCCGGGAGGCCCCCTGTGGCCACCATGGAGCATTAGGAGAACATGGAAAGGTCTTGGCAAGCTAATGCCCCTCTTCCTTGCTCCTGGAAAAGGGTCTAAAGAATGTGCTACTCCTCAGGTCACCCAGCAAGAGCTCAGCTGCCCTTGAACCATCCCACCTGCTCCAAGTTCAGGGACAGCAGTGAAGGCATGGAAAAAGCATAGGAAGGAAGTCAGAAGTTGAGATTTAAATCCCAGTGCAGCTACTTACAACAATCAGGGAATATCTGTGACCCTCAGTCTCTGCTCTCCAAAATGGGAATGTTCCCAGTGCTAACCTCCCAGTGTGGTCCTGACGGTCAAATAGATAATAAATGAGAAAGCCTTTGGTAAAGTAGAAAGCCCTACAAAAGCATGATGTGGGATTACTGGTATTATCCCTTGCCCAGCTCTATATCAGTTGGAAGGATATCAAAACATTTCTTAAGAAAATCTTATTAAAAGTCTTATTAGAGTCTAATTTAAATATTATAAAATTTTTATTATTAAACTCCTTGCCAGGATGCCTCAAAATAGCCCGGGGCCAAACTAAATGAGATATGGAGAAACCTGAGAGCTAAAGAAAGCATAGTGACCCATCATCAGAAGTGAGAGGTTCCACAGGTATTGCTGGACTACTGCATTAGTTTCCTGGGCTGAAAAAACAAAGAACCACAAGCTGGGTGGCTCAGACCACAGAAATGCATTGTCCTTACTGCCCTTTTCCAAGAGCTAGAAGTATGGGATCAATGTGTCAGTAGGCTTTGTATCTTTGGGGGCTGTGAGGGACAGACTTGCCAAGCTTCTGGTCATTTGCTAGAAAACTGGCATCCTTGGCTTCATCGCCCCCATCTCTTTCTTCATCTTTACACAGCATCCTGTGTGTGTGTCCAAATTTCCCCTTTTAATAAAGACACAAGTCATACGGATTAGGGCCCACCCTAATGACCTCATCTTTATTTGATCATCTGCAAAGACCCTATGTGCAAATAAGGTCACATTCACAGGTACTGAGGGGCCAGAATTTCAGCATCTTGTCGAGGAACACAATCCAACCAGTAACAAATGCTTTCCCCCAACTCTCTGGGTCCTTGGCTCATTTCTGCCTCCCTATGTGTCTACCTCACTCATCTGTTTTCAGTCAAGCTCTTGCTGGCCACTGCAGAATGTTCACTCCATGACTTTAAGATTAACCCATTACCACCCCCCGGGAGCTGGTGGCCTCCTGGGCACTTGATGGAGGAGCCCCAGAGACAACATCATAGGTTTAAAAAAAAAAAGTGCACAGGTTCCCATTCACCACGGTGGAGAGAGCTGGGGCTAGCAATCAGGAGCGGGCCTAGGAGGGACAGCCAAAGACAGCATATGCCCTGGAACGAGGCCACTGTGAAGGGGCCATTGCAGAGGCTGTGTCTAGCATAGCAGATTAGACTCGAGGTGGCATGGGGACGCCACAGGCAGGAAGGCCAGGAAGAAAAGTAAACAGAGACAAAGTCATGTGAGAGGAAGCTGGGAAGCTACCAAGGCCAACAGGAGAGGCAGCAGGGCATGGCTCACTGCCATGGAACCTTGAGCACTGCACACTGCGGCCAGCCGAGTCAGCTGGGCTGGTGCAGCGACCCTGGACATCTGCAGCCCAGGACAACTGCCAGTGGGGAGGTTTGGCCACATTTGGCCCCGCACTGTGCAGAATGCTTCCTGCTAGGAGGCAAAAGAGAAAGTTCCAGACGACTGAAACAGGCAGCCTTGCATGCTGATGTCCGTAACTGTGTGGCCCGTCACCAATGAAAGTACGGAGGAAGAACTTCCATGGTGAGTCAAATGTCCTGACACTGGTTCTATGTCCAGCTCTGGCCGGCCCCAGATGGTGGGAGGCTCCTTGTTTAAACGGTTTTGAGGTACTGGCAGTGAAACAGCTGACCTCTTTCAGAGGAGTGTCTGAGAGTCCCTGACACCCAGCAAGATATGCAAGCATCCCCCAAATAAAATAAAATAATAGTTCCTGCACTTAAGCAGTTCACTGGTCAGTGGTAGAAACAGCTGAACAAAGGCACAGTTTGAATAGACTGGAATATGTGCCAGGATGGAAAAAAGCAACAGAGGAGAAGTAATAAACTGGGGCTGGGGGTAGTAGGATGCCCCCTAGTAGGCAAAATGAAGAGACAGATTATCTAAGTACCAAACTTCTTTCAACCCTTCCAACATGCCAACTCTGCCACATTCAGTGGCTTCAGGCATGCTGTTCTTTCTGCCTGAATGCTGTTCCCTACCCTTTCAGCACCCCTCCCCATCCTTCAGGCTACTTCCTGAGACCTCTTCATCACTCTAGCCATCTGACTCCATACCTGCCATTACTGTCCCTCCCAGACACTGCTCTTCACCTCCATAGGATGTATAGCAATTTCATATTGTGTTTATTGGCTTGTTTTCTTTTTAATGTCACCCCCAGGGGCTATAAACTCCATAAGCCTAGGGATCAAAGTTCATCCCCACTGCATCTGCAGCCCAGCACCGGGTACATGGTAATGCTCAAAAAGTGATTATCAGCCCAACCATGTCCATAACAGGATTCACAATAGCCAAAGGGTGGAAATGACTCAAGTCTCCATTGACAGATGTATGGATTAAAGAAATGTGGTCTATAAATACAACGGAATATTATTCAGCCTTAAAAATGAAGGAACTTCTACACATGCTACAACATGGATGAACCTTGCAAACATCATACTAACTAAAATATACCAGTCACAAAAAGACAAATACTGTATGGTTCCACTTACATGAGGTTCCTAGAGTAGCCAAATTCCTAGAGACAGAAAGTAGAGTGGCAGTTGCCAGGGGCTGGGGGAGGGAGGGAGTGAGAGTTAGTGTTTCATGGGGACAGAGTTTCATTTGGGGAAGATGAAAAAGTTCTGAAGATGGATGGTGGGGCTTGTTGCATCACAACCTGAATGTATTTAATGCCACTGAATTGTAAACTTATAAAATGGTTAAGGGGGTAAATTTATGTTATATGTGTTTTACCACAATTAAAATAATTTAAAAAAAAGAAAAAACTGTTTATCAAATGAATAAATGAGGAAGAAAGGAAGGGAGGGAGGGAAGGAGAAGCAGGAAAGAAGGAAGGGAGGAAGCCACGTGGAGGAAGCAGGAAAAAGAGAGAGAAGGGCACTGCAGGTGGAGGGAACAGCACGAGGGCAGCAGGAGGAACAGCGGGCACCATCTAGGAGGCTCTCCTGCTGGCACAGGCGCTGCCCTACATCTTCATAGTGATCAGCTCTCTTAGGGCACCAGGGAGACCCAGAGGCTAGAGGTCACATGAGGCTTCAGGAACCCAGGAAGAACTCTGGCCACACCTGGCCTTGCCCACATGCAGGAGAGGGAATTGGGGGATGGGGGACCATAATCCTCTGCTTCTCCTCCAGTGGGACTCCTCTGGGGCCCTGACAGGCCTTCAACAATAGTAACATTTACAAAGCTCTTTTGTAAATTTCATCTCATTTGATCCTCCCAAAGACTTTATGAGAGAGAGTCTTTACTCCCACTTGACAGATGAGGAACCCAAGATCTGTGAAGTGAAAAGTCTCTGAGGGCTCATGTGAGTCACCTGGGGAAATGGGAGTGACCTGGTATCTGTGGACACCAGGAAGGCATACTTCCCTGAGCTGGAAGATGAGCAGGCAGGGGCGATAGCACTGTGTGTGTGTGTGTGCAGCTGCTGCCTAGGTGCGGTCAGCAGCCCAGCCCAGGCAGCATGGTGTGCCTGCAGCTCATTCCCACATCCCTCCCTGCCCTGTGGGGCCAGTGCATAGGAATTTCCCCTAGAATACAGGGCTACTTACCCTGTCAGTCAAACATCCCAGTTTGCCCACCATCTAGATGTTCTGGCATCATTTAGGTCATGAGCTTAAATCTCAAACCAAAATTTAGTTAATTAAAAGAAAAGGAAAGAAATCACTCATATCTCAGAATTCCCACAGCATGCTGGTCTGCATCTCTAAGGGGAATTGTCAGTCTATCTTGTCTTGGTTTATTATGGTTTCCTACGCACTGATCTCTCTCTCCCACCAAACAATGGATGTCCTGGGAAATGAGACAGTATTTTGTGTGTTTCTGTATCCCCAATTCCTAGCACAGGTTCAGGAGTACAGAAGGTCCTTGATAAACAACATTTACAGAATAAATGTGCATTTTGCTATGAACTAATCCGTGGACATGATTCAGAGTAGTATTCCATTGAGGGAAGACACAGCTGAATTCTCTGTGGAAGACCCTGAGTTAGGTAGGCTCCAGGTGGGCAGCCCAGGAACAAGGCTCTTGTCTGCTATGGGGGCAAGCTGGGCACTGGGTGTCCCTAGGCAATGAGGATGTGGCTCTGTGCCCTTGCTCCTAGCACCAAGCCTGCCACAGGGGGTGCTCCAGAAATATTTGTGGAATTGGGTCTGTGCCAGGCCTACATTCTTACTGTCTTAGTCCTACTCAACATGAACCAATACCACCAGCATATTCCAAAGTAGCTGTGATTCTTGGGATACTTCTCAGTTTGGAGAGAAAAAGGGTTCCCTTTATGAGTTAAACAAAGGAAAACTGGTCCTACCCTAGGATTTCTCACAGCTTCAGTGAATAAGGAGCTTGGACACAGATTAGATTACTGGGGCTTGAGTTCTAAACCTACCATCTCCTAGAAGACAGCTTGAGGTTCCTAAACCTTCCAGGCATTTGTTTCTCTTCTAAAACGGAGCTGTGAAGGCATCTACTGCATAAGGCTATTATGATATTTCATGTAAAAACACATACAAGGGACCTGGTAAGGTACCTAGCAATATAGTAAGCCCTCCATAAATGGTAGTTATATTAATGATAATTTTGAAGAACTTATTACTGTTTTATGTATGCTGTGAATCTCCAAGAGAAGGACAATTAGATTAGATAGTTTTTCCCAAATGTGTTTGCCTATAGATTTGACCCAGAACTAATCATCCATGGGACTCCATTTAGGAGACATAAACTGAAATCAACAGCACCTCGATTGTCAGGAAAACTGGCCTAGGAGGTCCTCGTTTGCATGGCTCTGATTTAAGTGAGCTGACTTTCCAATGCCTTGATTTTTCCATTTTTTATTCTGAGGTTCTTAACCTGAGGCTTAGAGACTGACCTTAGGGAGGTGTGTGCCACTAAAAACTTTAGAGAAAATAGTGTGTTTCAGTGCAAACCTTCACTCTCCTACGACAGAGCACCAAGTATGTACCAGACACTTTACAGGTACTGCGAATATGAAGGGAAGCAAAAGCAGCTCCCTTCATGCGGCTTCTATTCTGGCAGGAGAGGCAGATACTAACCAAGCAACCATATACAAAAGTTTGGACTGCCATTGAAACAGGAACCAAGGAGAGGTTCACATATAATGAGAACATACATGGCGGAGGCATTAACTAGGTCAGAGAAAATGAGTTTAAGGCCTTTTGGAGGGAGGCAGGATGGCAAGCACAAGGAACACCCAGGAGACCAGTGAGGACAGCTGAGGGTGGGAGGAGGCAGGAGAAACTATGTGGCCACTCAGAGGCCTATTAAGGAGTTACTTGTCTTTATGGGGAGGGGGTTCATGGCTTTCACAGTATTCTTAAAGAGCTCCAGACCCCAACACCACTTAGACGTGTTCCACTGTGGTTTCATTTGCAGACAGTCAGACCAGCCCTGGGATGCTGAGGAGGACATATCTGAGGTTTCTGCCTGCTCAACATTCATCCTCCTTCTGTTTGGACTCAGCACTCCTAGGTGCCTTCGGAGAAATCATCCCTTCCTTTCTCACTCAATGTACACACAGTTTCTATGGGACTAACTCTCCCCTAATGCTAGGGAAGGTCATGTGCCCCTGGTCTGATCAATAAGAAGTAGGCTTCCCTGGCCAGAATAGACTCAGAGACGGGCATATGACCAAAAAGGACTAATAAGCATCTGGCCCAGGACTTGTGCAGGAACTGCTAACAGATGTTCCCCCACCATGGGCTGCAAGGCTGGCAGTAGGTAAGCCTGGAGCAGCTGGCAGTCTCCTTGAGGTCTTGAAGCACGAGCTTACCTGTGACAAAAGGCATTACAGAGAATAGAGCCAAAAGACAGAGGGAAACAGACACCCAATGATATCATTTGAAACTCCAGATCCTACCTTCCCTAGGATTAGAACTATCCCTGGACTTTCCAACCACATTAGTCAATAAATCCCTGTTTGCAGAAGTTCAAATTACATGTCTGTCACTTGCAACCAGGGGTTCTTTCTGATACATCTCTCAAGTCACAGTCTGAAAAACCGAGGTGCACAGAAAAATCAACGCTCCAACTTCATAAACCTGCAGAAGCACAGCAACACAGAACCTGGGTCTCCAGACGCACAGAGCACTGCCCCTGTAGCTATCCGGCGCGAGGCCCTTCGGCACTCTGTCGGCATGCCCCACTCTCCAGATGCCTCCCATCGGCCTGACCCTTCCATCCTCCCTTCTCCTCCTCCCCTACTCTAGGGTGAGCAACTCTGCTCCTCTTCTTTTCTAACCTCAAGGTCCCAGGAAGAGAAACAAAAACAAGGCACTGATCTTTGTTCCCCCACAGTCCTGGAGATGTCTCTGAGTACTAATTTCCCTCAGTGGCCGGGGTGTGGGCCGCAGGGCTGACCCTCAGGCCACAGCTGCACGGGCTGCTGGAACCGACTTCAGCTATTGCTGCAGTTAAAGCCCATCTTATCTCCCACTGCTTCTCAAGTGCACCCACTAGTCAGAACCCTCTCTTCAGCTTCCTTCTTCCCCCAGGTTCCCTGTTCACAC